ACATCAAACGCAGGTTTGTACCCCGTCGATTCGCAGGTTCACAACTCGCGTAACAGACGATGTAGTCTCGTGCGAGGTGGTCCAACTCTCTTTGTCTTTGATGTGCACTGTATTCTAGCACGTTCACAGGGGCACGGCTGAAAAGCGCCCGGCGCGAGGCTAAGAGCATCGTCTTCGAGGCTACAGACGCTGCTTCTATTATTTTACTTGTCTGGGCATGGTGGTCGAGTCGAGAAGGGGGGGGGGGGGGGGGGGGGAGGGGGTTCGGGTCATCTAAGAAGTGCTGAAAAAGAGAGACAGAGAGTACACGTAAAAGTGGTATGAACTTCTATAACAGTGATTCTCAACCGTCGATGTTTAGCGGGTCCCTCGTGGAACGGCGGAGATAATGGAGAACCCCGTTTGTGGTGAGGGGAGAGAAAAGGTAAAGGTTAAACATACTAATGATATAAAAATGGATATAACTAAGGGCTAGTGTGAAGTAGACTTTTCTTATTGACTGACACACGAGAAAACTCGCTCGAAAATTGAAAAATGATATTTTCGATCTGAAAAAATGACGACTTTTATTAACGGGCTTGACTGATGAGGCAGAGCTTCGCAGACCACAAAGGGTCCGGGGACCGCCGTTTGCGAACCACTGCTCTATAGTTTTGTAAGACCGATGACCACCGCTTCTTTCGCTTTCTATTCCCTCCACTCACGTGGCCTCCGCGATTATTAATACGAAAGTGAGAACCGATGAACGATCGATAACCCCTAACCGCCACTTTTTCGCTGACTGGTCGAGTATTCGGCCATGGGATGTTCTATGTTCCTCTCTTAACGAGATATTCAATATTGAAGGCATTAAAAAATTGGGTTGTGTGGTATGTTTATACAGCCTAGAACTTGGTCTGCCTCACAGGGGCGACGAGTCTCCCAGCTGTAGATGAGCAATTTAGCCAGTGCAGTACAACCGCTAGCCTGGGGTCTTTAACGTGCACCACGCAGTAGTGATATACGACCGCACGCCGGTACGATGCTCATCCAGATCGAAACGGGCAGGGGCGGGGATTGAACCCAGGATCCCTGGGTTCTGCAGCGCGAGCTTTCGCTCCACGTGCTCTTGAAGGCATTAAGGACAACGGAAACAGAGTTTTTGTGCACGCTTTGCTTGCCAAAGATAAAGAAAAAAAACACATTATCACCAGTAAGAACAACAAACTCTAATCTACGGAACGCATCAAAGGTAAGCTGGGACACCTACATTCTGCATTGGGTATACATTGTAACGCTAGAGCCAAGTTTTTCTTTTATTGTGAACAGAGCTTTCGTAGATCGCTTTTTTAGGTCCGAATCAAGTAGCAGAGGTAAACGCTGGTACTAAGCATGCACACCGCTCGCTTTGTCTGCACATTTCCAGAGATCATTTCTGAAGGCCGTAAGCTAGCGGGATGAGGGGTGTCGTTGCAGCTTTCACTGAATTGTCAGCTTACGGGTGAGCGGAGTGCACCTACACTTTTTTTCTTAATTTAAATATTTTATTTTTACAAGGATTACAAAAATTCAGGAGTACGAGATATCAAAAAGAAGTGTTGCAGAATATTTGAGAAAAATATAAAAATTGTTTCTAAAGTTTTGTGGGTAAATGTCCGGCAAAAGTAACGTGAAAGTAATTTGTCACGTAACTAGTAAAGTGCTTCGTTACTTTTCAACGAAAGTAATTTGTAACGGTAATCCATTACAATTGAGGCTCCGTAATTTGCAATTGTAGTTCATTACATTTTTCAAGTAACAAGCAGAAGTCTGATCATGTGACTGAATTCGGCGAATAGTGGCGCCGCACGTTCGAGGCGCGCGGCGCGCTCAAAAGCAGGGGAACGTACGGCGGGGCGTATGGGACTTCCATTGTTGTGCACGGCCTTTGAGTCTGCTCCTCACGTGATCGGATGCTGGCATATAGCGGCACGGCGGCGCGGAAGAACCAGACACGCAACTCTGTCTCCTGTAGGGAGCCTACGCAAGAACTCTAGTACCGATAATGAAGTAGCGCCAGCTATCAATACGGGCGCCAAATGTGCCCTGCCGTTGATCCTTATTTTTTACAAAAAGGTAGCTACGCTTTGTAATTTTCCAAGAAAACAAAACAGCCGGTTAGATTCACTTCGGACGAAAAGTTTAGACTGCTACGTGCAGGCGCAGAATTTCACGGCCCATTTTAGATCCAGCCTGGGTATTTCAGACACCCTATATATACGATATATACTATCGGTGTATATGTCACGGGATATAACATCCCGTAACATATACACCATTTCAGTTTCCCCGCTAAATATAACGAGAAATGCACGGACGGAAAGACGGACAAAAATTTGGGATTGGGAGCGTTCCGTTAAAAATCATTTCCCCCTTTAAAACGGACGATGATAAAAAAAAAGTGGCTGATTCTATTAGGGCCGTCTCATGATGCCGTCGTAGTCGTAAACGGCCGTGAAGGGAACCCGACTGAGGTTCGAGCTTGGCCAGATTAGACTTATTTACCAACTTTTGACGCAAAGCTCGCCAAAATTTCGACCGAAATCGAGAAAAATTCGACGCAGAAAGTTTGGCTTCGTTCGTATAGCTATTGTTGGTCGCGGTGCACGACGTAGTATGTGTGGCATCACACACACATAGAACGTAAAAAAGAGTGACAGCGACTTTTACCTTTAAAGTCGTGTAAAGTATCAAAAGCATAATAGGCGATTGGTGAGGGCAGTGCTTAGGTGTGTGACGTGACGTACATTTTCACATTAAATTTAGCGGGAAAACTGAATGGTTGTATAGGTCACGTGACGTCAGGTGACGTGACGTCGATTTCGATCGCCACATTTAGCGGAGAAACTGGATTGGTGTCTAAGTCAAATGACGTAAATAGCCGAGGTGCTTAGTACACTCTTAAAAAAAAAGGAGTAGTACTTCGTCCTTTTTGGGGACTAAGTCGATGTCACTGAGAGTGATCCCCCAAAAACGGCAAAACCCCGCTTTAGTACCTCCCTTTCTTTTAGTCCCTTTCCATTGATCCCTTCAGGTCCAAATTTTGAACCGTTAAAAGGAGCGATTTTGATCCCTACAGCAGGGCATCAGGGACTAAGTCTTATCTCTTTAGGGGATTAATTATGGTCCCTTGAGCGCCGTCGCGTCCATAATTGGAGGAGCACCTTTGATCCCTTTGGGGATGATTGGGGACTAACATTTTTGTGATTGGGGACTAAAATTCGTCCCTTTGGGGATTAATTTTGCCACGTAAAGGGATGACACTTATAGTTATGAGGGAGTAACTTTCGTCCCCTTGGGGATCAATTTTACAGTAATGGGGGACTAAATTTCGTCCCTTTGAGGATCAATTTTGACCCTTTTAGAGACGAATTTTATAGTAATAAGGGAGTAACTTTCGTCCCTTTGTGGACGAATTTTGAAACTTTTAGAGACGAATTTATTAGTAGCGATGCCCTTCTGCTGTGACCAGGAGTGAAAGGTTTGCAGTTTTGAACAGCTTCCTATTCAGAAAAGGTAGATTGTGCAACTTGGTATCTCGTCTGAAAAGTTGCACAAAGCGCCTTTTCAGAACAGAAAGGTAGTCAATACTGCAGACCTTTCACTCCCATGCACAGCTAAAAGGTGGAAATATTGCAGAGCATCTGAAAAGTCTCGCACCTTTATTTGGAAAAAGCAAGCCGCGTTGCCAAACAAGCAGCAAGCATCATGTCCAACAATAATCTAAATGGTAACGATGCCTGCAAAGACTGGATATGCTCGAACTCTCAGGCATGCTTTAACAGGCAACATCACCATTTTTACGAAAAAAAAGCTAGACCAGGAATCTGTAGACAAAAATTCACTTTCATTGTGGAAATATATTTATTTTATAACTACAAAACACTGAAAATAAAAACAATTGCACATCACAAGTATACAAAAGGAAATACTGCCATCTTGGCACTGAACCCTTTGTCAAGATTTAACACGACTAGCATATTGCAACATTTAGCATGACTAGCAAAACTCGGTAAAAAAACCATTTCAATGTCCGTTTGGTTCCTTGTGTAATGAAAAGGACTAAAATCAAATACCTTATTAAAAAACAGAAAAAAAAGCTCCCATTATAAAATGAGGCAGCAAAATGACTAGCATATTTATATATAAAAAAAAACCTGGCATGGGTTTGTTACTTTGAGGAATATATGTGCTAAAGAGTGACCCAAAGTCCCCAGGCTCTATCTAAAATCGACTAAAAATCTATGCCCGCACATAGCACTGAACTTTTCGTTAAAGGTGCATTTCGCAAGTTGTTTTTCTTGTAAAATTACGAAGTGCAGCTCTCTCTGTAAAAACATAGGGTGAAGAAACTTAACAGGGTCTACAGCCGGCGGCGACGCAGACGACCAAGTCCAATGGCGGACAGGGTTTGGCGCTCGTATAGCTAGATGGCGTCGGGAGCAGCTTCAGAAGGTGCACCCGTTCAGCTGAAGAAAGCAGACGAAATCTGTTGGCAGCAAAAGCGCCGACGTATCTTTTTACTTGTAAGTTTTGCTTTTATTGTTTGCATGTATTTTTCTTTAACCAAAGGAACATTTCAATAAGCAGTTGCGGTGAGGAGGTAGCGCCATCTACAAAACAATGCGAAACATACCCCGCTACTGGACTTCGTCGTTTGCCTTGTTGCCCGCCGTAGACCCTGTCAAGTTTCTTGGCTCCATTTTTTATAGAAAGAGCTACGCTTTGCAATTATACAAGAAAAAAAACAAAGCGCGAAATACACTTGACGAAAAAGTTTTGATTGCTACGTGAAGGAATCGATTTTTACGGTCCATTTTAGAGCCTGGCGACTAGGGTCACCCTATATTTATATAAAAAAAACCTGGCATAGGTTTTTGACCTTCAAGAATAGATGTGCTGAAGAAACTAAAAATAAAATGCATTCCTTCAATGCATTACACAAGCACAGAAAAACTTGTTTACCAACAAGTAAAAAAAAAAAAAGCCCCCCAAAAAAAGAAAGGAAAAAACCTTAGTTTTATGTTCTTTTTGAACTCAGGGCAGTGAGCAGCCTTGTGCCCATGCAGCCCAGCTTTGAGTGTTTCAGACCTGCAAGTCTTTCGAAACAAACAAATGTACGACGACACTTAACGAAGTACTGAAGGTCAAAAACCCATGCCAGGCAAAAACAAAGTGCTACAGCTTCCAGAGGGCCCTCTGCCTCATAGGCCTGGTTTTCAAAAAGCACACTGCAGCGCTCTGTTGATGTCGTGGGGCACACTGCGATGGGATAGACTGCGGGGCAAGTCTGAAACAAAGATTCAAAATAAAGACAAATTGTATAAAGTCAGTTTTTCTTGTTTTCACCATTGTTTTGCTGATTTTCTTTGTTGCCAGCTACAGTGGCGACCCAAAATATGGACAGTATCAACCCCCCCCCCCCCGAGTATCAACTACTAGGCGGTGTGCCACCCCTCTTCTGGCCACAGCACCCTAAAGTTTGACTTTTACAAGTAGAAGTTCGGTTCAGTGTCTCAAATGTCACCGAAGGCAACGTGTTTGTGCCATCTGGTTGCCGCCCTTCCGAATGAGGTAGCGTTCAAAGTTTACGGCATTCTTTAGAATCCGCCTTCGGCCACTGTATGAAGCACTTAAAGCTTCCATCCTTGAAGGAATACGGTCTCAGAAGGCAAGCATTGCAGCAGCTGCATCCAGCAGATCAGCAACGTCAAGACCAATGTATTCCATTTTGCACATGCTGGCTGGCGTTTGGCACACGCTCTTCGTACTAACTGATCGCCGCTTCCACAAAGGCAACCAGCACCTGTGAAATATTTCTGCTTTTGCTGAAAATGATGTTATGCTCTATATGTAGAAATACTTCACTGAAGCTTCATATATTGTCCCCCTTCAACTAAGAACTGAACAAAGCATGAATCTAGTCAAACCCGCTAGGAACTTAAAAAAAGAAATTTTACTGTGAGATTTAGCTTGTGAAGAGCCCAGAAAAAGCTGTTTGTTATGAAATGGCAGCTACCACTGAAAACAACCAAGAGGTTCTATTCAGAAATGACAGCTGACATCTCTTGTAAGGGGCTAAAAGAATATATGACAGGTCATTAGACCAGTGAGACTTGATCTAAAATAGGCCTGAAAAATTAGCCCCTACATGTAACAACTAAGTTTCAACATTCACTAAAGATGTTTTACTGCCGAATATCCGACCGATGCAGGCGATAGAGATAACCAAGGGTGATGTTTGTGGTGCGATCTCCCGATAGGCACACCAAGCAGACAATAGCACTCGCTGGATTTACTCTCATAATGACTGCACCCAGGGGCAGGTGCAGGAATTTCCTGAGTGGGGGGGGTCAGGTGTTGGTCAGCGTACCATATGTTTAGGAACCCTCTTCCTCTCTCCTTGTTTCACGCCCTAAATTTTACACATTCAGAAATCAAGAGGGAGGTCAGGACATTCGGGCCCCCCCCCCCCTCAAAATCCGCCCCTGACTGCACCCCCAACAGGCATCAATATATGGACTTATTTTTAGTTTTGAACTGCGTCCAACTTAGCCGGCTAGCCACCAAGACAGCCGAAATCATGGCAGTCTTGTTGCCTACAAATTTTTTTTAGTCATGCTGTATATAGTCTAAAATGACGAAAATGTCTAAACTTACTTCGCATGTGATGAAGGAATTGTGCGTTTCTTTCAGCAGGAGTGGAAACAAACAGAAGAAGATCAGACAGTTCAGTTCTGAAAAATAATAATGGCAAAGTTAGCTATTTCAGGCAACTAACACTTCCAACTTGCATCCCCCAAATTTTTAATATTTATCAGTGGTCAACCCGAACTTTCTTTTTTCCTTTTTGAATGAGGAAAGTTCATTCGTTGATATTCTCACACCAACACCCACCACCTAGTCATGCCACTGCAGTAAATTGCAGCGTAATACACCGAGACCGATCTTTGTGGACCGCTTGAAGTGGGTTGCATGAAAAAAACTTTAGATGCTCAAGTTACTGCGAACTTGTGAGAATGGCAAAGTATCAGTTTCAAAAGCCCAGTCCCCAATACGCTATCTATGCCTTCTGGCGCGCTTTGGCGACACATGAACGCGCATGGTGCATGAAATGCCCAGATGTTATCAAAGCTAGGAAGTTCACGCTGGAGGCGGGACGACTGAAACTGCTATTTTGTTTCCTCATATGCACACACTTAATGAACACATTAATCACCCATGCTAGTAATATTTTTTGAAACTAATCCATTCAATTATGCTCAGTGCCAAGTGTCACGGCAATGCAACAAAATAGGAAGGCTGTATATAAGCATCACATCAGTAATGCAAATTTATGTTTTCTTTTAACTACAGCCATTCACCAATCTTTTTTAAAGGCACAGATCACCAGACGGTCACTCACAATATAAAAATTAATGTGCAGCGGCAATTGGAATTTCAGATGCCATACAGCTCACTCCTAGATCTCAAATTTACATAGTTTGCACCCACCTATAACACGAACCAAGTCGGCACCAATTTGGTTGCCAAAGAAAGCTAGCTGGATTGGGACTTCCGCTAACAGTCAATGAAGGCTTAATTCTAAAGCAGGTATACCTTGTTTCTCGGATTCCTCAACAACATCCAACCGTTCAAGAGTCTTGTAAAAAATATCGGGCTTTGGCTTGTTCTCCGTTAGTTCAAGAACTGCTGTCAGGTTTTCGGAGGCCATCTCAAAGAAACGTTGCTTCAGATTGATGCTTGTGATCCGTTCAAACTCATAAAAAATCTGAAATAAAAAAAGTTTACCTTTAGTCAACCTATAAATCATAAACTACCCTGTAGAAAAGCAGGAGGCAAGTAAAAAAGATTCCCATTTTATTATGAAACGGAATCATAATGGCAAAGGTGTCAGTGAATTAAAGACTCGTGGTGCTTGCTTTTGCCATGGAGGTAGTGCCAGTTAAAGGCTATGGAATTGTTATCAGCTTTCTGAAAGTAATTAGTTCCAAGCACATTTCATTATGCTTATGATCACATTTAGCTTCGCCCGTGCTTCAACAAATGCTGATAATACTTCAAATAAACAAATACATAAAAACAAGTATGAAGTACCCAGATTCGCCACATAAACCAGACTAACGCAGAATGCGTACTGTTTTTGGTTGGCCAGTTTCGATCAGAGGCATCTTTGGCAAGTTAGACTATTGATGAAATTTGTTTGAGGATGAGACATGAAAATACAACACATACTGCACCACTCAACTTTATGCAAATTGTCCTTTTAGTGCACGATATGTTGCCTTTTACTTCATCTTCTGCATGGTCCTCTTTTCACCTTTTGTTACCTTTTCCGCCTTCCTACGCAGTTTCAAAGATCCCTAACCAGGCTTTCCAAGGCGTGACAGTGCTGTGATAAGACCCTGCAGCTCATTAACTACTGTGTCTAGGGATTACATACAATTGGTGCTACTTCTCTTTTTGGTGGCCACAAGAGTATTATAAAGATTGCAGTTTCCAAGACAGCAAATATTAAAAGTAAGGACACTGAAAATAAAGCACAAATTTCTTTGGGATAACATTATTCGCTGCAATGGACGTTAGGCAGACAGCGTTAGCCAATAATCAGTAGACTACAGTAGTCAACTGATTTTTCGGACAAGTCCAATTATTCAGCTCACACCATAGAGTTAATGCGTACCATTGCCTCGATACTACGTCCTACGTAAAAAACAAGGTGGGTTCAGGTTATAGTCTGGTTTTCCGGTACCGCTACTGCCAACATCACCAGCCCCTGCCCATTTTTATAGTTCTCCTCAAGCGCCGCAAACATATATGCGACAGAGTACGACCGAGAGAGACCAGACCGGTTTTTAAGCCTCTTACGACGTCTTAGGACCGGATACACTGCAGCAGAGCTGGTCCTAAGACTTCGCAAAAGGCGTAAAAACCGGTCCGATTTTTCCAGTCTTACTCTGTCGCAAGAATGAATGGGCCTTCATGGTCCAAGTTTTTTGAGTGTGAAAAGAGCGGCCGTCTGCCATTTTTGTGGTCTTGAGTGCAAAGGTATTTTGCCGATAGGCTTAGTATTGAAGCAAGCTTGGTGGACTAAACATTGTCTCCAAATAGTGCCAACTTCAACTTCCCCGTTTGTGCCAACGAAGGCGCCAACAAAGCGCATCACCTTGATCAAACAGATCAACAAACAAGGAAAAAGTGAATATAAAGCAAAAGTTGCAAGAGAGCTTATATTTGACATCAAGCAAGTGGAAAGTGGCTAATATGCAATGAAAAATGCGTGGAAATTTGACATTTTGGCTGAAATCCAGACAATTTTGGGGTCCCCCCAGAGTCAAAGAATGGTTGGCAATTGTTATTACCTAAAATCCATTCACTATTCAAATATTTGTTTCAGCTGGTGCATTCTAATTAGAAATTTCTTGCTCGTCGACAAAGCATGCCTAGCAGATGTGAAAATTAAGAACACAAAATTCTTCCCTGCACTGTTCTTTGTCAAATTTAAGCTGTGAGCAAACAAGATACCGTAACAACATACAAAAACAGGCAGCGGCCGAGTTCAGCTCGGAAGCAACATCATCCTTCGCAGCGGAAGCGGGTTGCTGAGCTGATAAGGGTCGCATGGCCATAGAAAAGGGGCACCCTACTCTAATGTCTCCTCTGTCACTCAGCTTTCTGTGCAAAGCAGAATTTAGATGTCAAATTTTTAGGATCACTATGGCATATTTTGACAACAGGCAACAGATTTTAACTGGAATCTGGTACGTGAGGTCACATTTGGGTGTTATAGCTTTGAGCTCTCTGCTTTGCCTGGATTAAAAACTCACTCGGAACCACCGAGGCAACATCTGCCAGGTGAAGCAAAATATTTAAAACATTGATTAGCGGATTTTAGGTCCTTAATTTTCTCAATAAACTCCACGATGTCTGCTCTGGAGGATAGTGTGTATACTCTAGTAATAGCTGCACTATTTATGAAGAAAACCTGAGGGTTCACTTTTCTGCAAAGCATGCAGATTGTCAATCACCGCGATCGACAGCATGATTCCAGGTGTATACAGGACAGAGATAATGTCTTCGCAAAGATACCATTTGTTTGGAGAATAGTGTTCTCGACCTTGTTAATCCCTGTTATTTATGTACACCGTAATGATTAGCTGTACATGTGTTCTGTGGGAAAGTAGATGCAAGGGCCTTCTTCATATACAGCGCGGCTATTACTCGAGTAAATACGGTAAAGTCGTCCCAAAAGAATCATCTCTCCATTTCCAGTGTCCTCTTTCCTTATTTGCTGTCTTAGGAAGAAACACCCACTTAATAGCTAGAACACTTCTCCTAGGCACTCAGACAGCACAGGGGCAGAGCATTAGACTACTGGGAGAGAGTTTGGTGGCTCGATTCCTGCAAAGGGACAAAGGAACTTTTGTAAAGAAACATGGCCATGTTATGTTTCCGTTACAACCCATCGTGATGCTTGAGACCTAGAAGCCAGCCCTAAATGCTTTGTACGTTATTAATTAAAAAGCAAGTAGACTTGATGGCACTAAGCGAAATATTACCTGCTGTTTGAGCTTAAGGGCCGGATAATCCTCCAAGATGTCCGAGATTGAGGCGGCCGAGCTGACAAGCTCTCTCCTTGCTTGGAATGTCCTTCCCATGGCGTCGTTTACAATTTCCTTGTCAGGGACCTGTTTCTTCAACTCTCTTTTCATGGTGTTCACGTGGCCAGCGACGCTATGTCGATCCTCTGACACGTCCAATGCTCCAAACTGTGCACACTTGCAAGCAACAAACAAACTTGTTCAGTAAATCTGCTCATCACCCCCCGTCGAATTTTCTTTCCACTTGGCCTTATGTTGCAGGCAAATTATTGGTTTGGAGCAGCCACTGACGATTTTGGAACAGATGCCAATATTTGTTACCATATCATTCGGAAATAAGAAGTTATTGTATCTCTAAATTAGTTCATCTGTGGTAATGATTGATTGTTCCTCTTTGCAACAGGAGCATTTTACTTATTACGTTCGCTGATAACAGTAGATAGGATGCAAAAGTAACACTGAGCCTTTTTTTAAGAACTACGGCTCTGTTCAGAGTAGGTTCCATTTACAATGGGTACTTAAAAACTGTCAAAAAATTATGTCCGCCTTGTCGATGAACTCTTTCTCAAACAATGCGCTTGCACCGCCTGTGGCAGCCTCTCCATGCCTCACTGGAACCCCTTTCTGGTGGTGCCTCGCACCCATGAGACAACCACTTTCAGCTTATCAATGAGCCCAAAATGATGTCTTCACAGGGTTTTGTTCATACCGCCTAACAGGTGATAACCACTGACGGCACAGTCAGGCCATAACCATGCACGACTTAACATTGAATGGTCGTACATTTTGTCCAAAGATGGCCACACCCCATTGCCAGTCTAGCATGGCATCGTGTGCATTCTTGTCAAGCCGGAATCGGCCGGCATATAATCGGGTTTGGCCATCTTTCTGCCATGTAGTACAACCAGCTGGACATTTGGTCGTGCATTGCTATGGCCTGACCATGCAGCCAGGAGCTACGACCCTTTCGGTGGCATAAAAAGCCTGTGAGGATGCCATATCCTGAACATTGATAAGCCGGAAGCAATTGTCCAGGCTTAAATGGGAGGCACAAAAAAAGAAAACTTTCCAGCACGGCATGGAAAGGCTGCCACAGGTGGCACTAGGGCATTCAGCTTAAAGGGGTCATAAAACGCTTTGCAAGCTTACTTTTTCCTGTTTAGCTTTCCTCAACTCATAAATCGTGCAGTCTACCAAACTGTTCAAGACTAAAAGAGGGGAGTCCCCTCTAGCTCGGAATCTCGTTTGTATAGCTGGACAGAGCCATTTTCCCCCTAGAAGATTAGCCCAGCGCTAAAAATTCAGACAAAAGTTGCATTCCCCACCGCATTCACCCCAAAGTTGACAGTGTTGTGGAAGCTATGTGCTCGTTGGGCCAGGCACACTTGCCACGTGATCACGCTCTCTCGCACAGAGAATGAGGTCTGGTGATGAAAGGAAGGCGGCTGATTGGTCGGGCAAGCGCATAGCTTCCACTGCAATGTCAGCTTAGTGGTGAAGGGAATAAGTAAGGTCCGGTATCGGTTGACATGCGTTTGGACCCGGTGACACGCTATGGTAACCGCGGATGTAGCACAGTGAAAAAGGCAGAAAGCTTACGAAGGTACGAAATAGTCCGCTGTGTTTTCAAATTTTCTCACAGGAAGTCAGGCTTTTGACTTTCTACCTTTTTTTCTTTTGACCCACTGAACGATGTGCTATTAGTAAAATCCCAATCTAGAGTGATTTATACCAGCCGAAAATAAATATTTGAATTGGTCGCATTTAACCTTAAAATAAAGTGTCATGGAAAATTTTCATTGAATGTGTGCAATGCCACACAGAAGCTCAGAATTATTGTGAATATGAATAAGTATGAGGCATCTGTGTTTCGATTCCTATGTCACGGGGCAGCGAATGGACAAGAATTATGTGCGTCCCGCTACACACTTAGTGCGAACAAGCCATCACCTGTTTTCATTGTATTCTTAGTATTGTAGGCTCAGTAGAAACACTAACCTACTATAAAATACCGGGCAAGCACCCACTCAAACTTTGGAGATAATCGGAGAGAAATAGGGGATGAGCCGTATGTACCGTGCTTATTTTTGAGATTTTACAAATTTGGGAGTGGGCGCTTAGTGTGGAATGGGCGGACACTCGGTATTCTATGGCAAGCCGTAAATTTTGATACCAGGCAGTACATCTTCCAAGTAAAATGCGAAAAACCGCCGAAGTTGTGTTCGCACTAACAGTGTCGCAAGGTGTACAAAATTTAAGAACCCTCCCCCCACATACCACCGGTGTCCTGTAGCAACGGCGAGGGTCGGAAACATCAGCCACAGCTGTAGTCCCCTTGGAGCTCGTTGCTCCGTTGTTGGGAAGAATCCCAAGTCCTTGCAGCTTCCGCCGCTCATACTTCGCTTTAAAACGAAGTGAACGGTGCCAGGAGTCCTAGAATGTTCAGGATCATTACTGAGCACTAAGAGATATTCACATGTCATGAAAAACACTTACATATCCTGTACCAATGCTGTCCCGAAGGTCGGGATGCTTGAGGATGAGCTGCCGTGCTGCCTCAGCGTAGAGCCTTCCAGGATAACTGAAAAGTTTCACATAAAATTCTCAGTGCCATAACCTTGATGTATGTCTCGCAGTTAACTTACAGACTGTACTCGCATAAAAGGTGATATATCCATTGGATTATTCTTTTTCTGAGTGTATTTGTCAGGCAGGCCTTGTCTTTCTGGGCTTTTAATGAAAGAACAATGTCTAATGGGAAGTCTGGAAGGACAAACTCCAACTCCGACCGCACAAATTGCACCCCTTCTGTGCCATTGTTTGAAACCACAACACTAGATGGTCTGAAACAGAAAAAGACCTATGAACATCTGCAAACTCTGGTCATTGTAATTTATCAGCACTGTTAAAATCAAAGAACATAAGCTTACTCTACTTCAATCCCAGGGGGATTTCTCTTTTGAACCAACAGGATTTTTCCTTTATCTTCTAGAACTGCTCCGCAGTCGTAGTCCACATAGGCTTCGAAGTCCTTGTCAAACACCTGATGGCGAGAGTACACAGAGGATGTAGTAAACATTGCTATCCAGTTATAAACATAGTCGTGAAGGGGGGCGGAGGTAAATTAAAGAAATAAAAGTGCAAGAGCTCTTTCATGAGCAGGAAATGGTTATGTGGGCTGTCATCAAGACATTGTTTGCCTAAGGTGGGCTGCTTCAGACGGGGTTTCCAGCAATTTCGAGGTTGCTGGTGGGTTGCTCCCTAGCTTCCCCTATATCTACACGCGAGCAGCCCTGACAACTCCGAGACTTTTGAAGTGGTAGCAGCCGCTTCAAACGTCAAACAAAAAATTTTTTATTAATGTAGATGCATAGCTGAAAGTCTGCCATGCATTATAAAGCTGTTTATATTTTCACAAAAGTCACGTGAAAATCCCAGTAAGGGGAAGTATGTTGACAAAAAACATGAAGATGAGAAAATCGAAGTTTTGACATTGAACATAGAAAATTGTGTGGAGAATGAAAAACAATAATTGCCGTGAAGGTGTAGTGTAAGTCTTCCTGAACAACTCGACATAAAAAATGTAATCCATTGATGGGAACATTAGAAAAAAAAAATAGAAAAAAGTAAAGAATGAGTGAAATGTTGATAAAATCACATTGGAAGGAAGTGGGATCTCAAAATATTTTTTTTTTGTTCATTGGTCTATCTGGGACTTTTTGTACAGGCATGCAGTTTACAATGTTGATTCCATAACTGCAATCAGATTTGAGATCTTTGTCAAAAGTTGTCAACAAAATAAAATATTAATTAGTTCATTTTAAAATGGGTTTTAAAGAATCTTGCTAAAATTTAATGCAAAAAGGTATCACGCCCTAAAGAAATGTCATACAAGCTAAAGCCATTTTTGCAAGATAATGAAAGTGAACAGAAGACGTAATAGAGGCTACAAGAATGTCTATTAATGAAGTGCCAGTTCTATATACCAAAAAATATCATAATGAAAATAGCTCTAGCTTGCATTCTAGTTCATTTCAAATAAAATAGTACCGAGTTTATGAAAATCGGTTGAGCGCAAGTGAATCAAAAAGCCCACCAGGCCGGAGGATAGCTGGGAAAACAGACTTGGACGTATGGGTATGCATACCCAACAAATGTTGAAGCTTTATATGAGATGCCCTTGGTTTGAATTTCACACTAAAGAGGCACGGGGAGGGAAAGCAGCCCCTTATGCAACAATTCGTTAGCCCTGAGGCATGGGCGAAGTTGTCGAACACGAACTTGATCCAGTTGCTTCTATCAGCGGTAGAGCGAGTTGCGGCATCGGCGAAGGCTTTCGTCGATGCGGCACGTCTCCTCGTAGTGTTTAGCCTGTGCGTGTTGACTTTCAAACCGGCGTCCCCAGCCATCGAAACTCAAAGCGCGCAGAACTAAACAAGCAGGAAAGCAAATATACGCGAAAAAGGAAAGCTAAACAAAGAGGAGGTATCAAAATATTTACACGAAGGACGCAAAGACAGGGAACATACGAAACACTAGGAAGCAGAAAGAAAACCCTGAAATTATCGATATAGAAAGCTGAGAAATGCGAATATAACATGTCTCGAACGGCGAAGCGAGCGAAAGCAGACGACGCGGGAGCCCGCGGAGCGGCTGGGACGCCGCGCCGGGGAAGCCAGGAGAGGGGGCGCGCGTCTCTGTCAATGAGAGAGCTGCGCCTCGGAGGAGCGCGCGCTTTGCCCAATCAGCGCATTTCCAGCCCTCGGGAAAGATAAGCGCGGGAAACTAGCTTCCGAACAAGACTAAAATGGAGGTCAGACGCTTGAACTTCCAGCCCTCGGGAAAGATAAGCGCGGGAAACTAGCTTCCGAACAAGACTAAAATGGAGGTCAGACGCTTGAACTTTGTCGACATTTCAGAGTTTAGGCTTCAAGTCGGGTCCATCAACGCTTACAAATTGTCACTTTTTCTATTTAGAGACCGAATTGAGCATTTATATTTTGTGAGGATATACTCTTGAACTATATAGACCAATCGTACATTTTGAAAAATTGAATTTTTCGCGATCTTTTTTTATATGTTGATTTGCGTCTCACACTCCCCCGTGATACTCGCACCCTCCGAAAAGGGTGACCCGACGCGCAATACAGCATCTCGACGCAAAAGGTTACAAGGGGCACACGAAAACACACCGACACTTCTGCGTTCGCATACCAAGATGTTTAAAAAAAACAAGTCATCCTAATTTTATGTCTAAAATATAAAAGCAGAGCAATTGCCAACTTACCTCAATAAATGTAGAGTTAATGTCAACATCCGGAAACTTTTCACGTATTGCTTGCCTCAGTTCACTCTCGGCACACTTCTCTTGCAGGTCGATTACTCGATTATGTTCTTCGAACGCAACGAGTAGGCGCATAGTTCCTCCTAAACAGGCGTTGGGACCTCTCGAAAAAGCTGCCCGCTCCTCGGCTGTGGCAACAACGACGGCGACAACGATGGCGATAACACAACACAACAACGGATACCGAGTTTCCCGCCCACCGTGTTCCCGCCTTTTTCGCTTCCTGCGGTTCTCCAGTTTCTCGAAGGAGGCGACAACGACGGCGACAACGACGGCGACAACACAACACAACAACGGATACCAACTTTCCCGCCCACCGTGTTCCCGCCTTTTTCGCTTCCTGCGGTTCTCCAGTTTCTCGATGATCATGACGCGGACCACGCGGCTGCCGCGGCGCAGTGGCAATGGCGTCCTCGCTTTTTCGAACATTGAGGGACGTTAGGTGGAAAGAGAGGGCCAATTGCGTACGCGCACGTAGACCCTAGCAACAGCGCTCACGCCGGATTGGCTGACGCTGACGCCGTCTACAGGTCTACATAGGCAGCCGTTTGAACGCAGAAACGCAGCGTCTTAATCTTTTTTTTTTTTTTTTTTAGCATTTGGCGATATTTACATTTCTTTTTTACGACTAACATTGAAAGAAATGAATGTTGACGATGAAACTTCGCTGAACTAAATGGTATGGACACCTCGCCGACCTCTTCTAGATGGATATATAATAATGGCTATACCCTTTGTAACGGGCGGCAGCTTGCGCCACCTAGCCTAACTTGCGCCTTTGTCTGATTTATTCCCATTTTACCGAGCGCGCTACGAAGTGCTGTATCAAAGCAAATTAATCGTTTTAGAGGCTTTCTTGCGTGCCTTGTCTCGAGAAGGCGTAGGCTAACTACAAGCACTAAATCGCCTTAAACTGGTGGTAATATTGTGTGCCCCGCGCCCCGCTTCATGTGTATTGTGTACGTTCCAGGTTTGCGTTCGCGTGCGGGGCTGTATTTCATCTGTCGTTGTTTACTCTGAAAGTTCTTTCGTGTAAGCAGCTGCCATGCCTGTAATATACTGCCCCCTCTGCCCCTTCTATGATGTGAAGTTTGTACGAGTTGTGAATCACGTAGGTCAGGTCCATGCAAGTGCACACAATTTCAAAGTGACCTGTGGTTTGGACAACTGCGTGAAAGTATTCAGCTGCTTCCAGACCTATAGGAGGCACCTTTACCGGAACCACAACATGCTCGACACCGAGTTCAGCTCGGATGACGCAGCCCAGTCAACACCAAGTGCCAGTGCTTCAGCTACAGACTTTGATGAGGGCACCGAGCCTATTACACAGCCTTGTGACAGCGCAAAGCTCGAGAAAGAGACGCGGCCATTTTTGGAGGTGAAAAGGACATTATTGCTTTTCCATCTCAAGATGACTGAAGGCCTGAAGCTGCCTTATAGTACAGCAGATACTATTTTTGGAATGGTTAAGCTGTTGCTTTCTGCAACCCTCAAGGAGTTTGCAGAGGAGGTCAACAAGAAGCTGGCGACTCTCAAGGCTGATCTGCCAGGCTCTGACATCAACACACTGCTTCAAACAGAAGGCCTAGTGGATGTTCTGTTTTCTGGAATCCAAACCAAACACCAGCGAACAAACCTTGTCAAAAAAAGCCTTCCGTACACCGAAGCAAGAGAAATTCAACTGCAGCAAGGCGGGGCTCCAAAAAGATATTTTCAATATGTGCCCATTCAAGACGTACTCCAAAATCTGCTCACCTGTGACGACATCTACGAAAGTGTGGAACAACCTCCTAGCCAAAGAGAGGACGGCATGTTGAATGATTTCAGCGATGCCAACTTCATCCGAGAGCAGCAGAAAAAGGTACAACTTGCTGGAGACCAGCAAAGCACCATTTTTCTTCTTCTTTACACCGATGAACTGGAACTGAACAATCCACTGGGATCTGCAGTAGGTAAACACAAAATTCTCCTTGTCTACTTCAGCATCCTGAACATACACCCACGGCACCGTTCCAAGCTGAGCTCTATACATCTGCTCATTATTGCCCGATACTCGACGGTCACGGATTTTGGGTTGAAGGTCCTCTTGGAGCCGCTCATTAAGGATCTGAACATCTTGAGGACACACGGGTTTAGAATGCACAACAAAGCATTTAAAGTATGCGTCGTTGCAGTGGTTGGCGACAACCTTTCACTTCATCGTCTGGCTGGCTTAACGTGCTCCTTCAGTGGCGGGCGTGTGTCCCGCTTCTGCTTAGCAAAGTATGAAGATTTACGCGATCTTGTCCTTCCTACCCAATGTGTTACAAGGTCGGGTGCATCTCATGCCAGTCACCTGGCTGCATTTCTCCTGGATCCTGCACGCAATGGTAAGATCTACGGCATCACAGGTCCGTCCCCACTTGCGTCTTTGGAGGGGTTTGACATCATGAATCAACTACCCCCAGATGCCATGCATGATGTCCTGGAAGGTGGGATTGCAGTTGTGGTCAAGGCCGTACTGAAGGGTCTCGTAGATTCAAAGGTTATCAAGAAAGACGACTTGAATCGCATTGCTCAGTTTTCCTACGGACAACATGACAAGAAGTCGAAGCCTGTGTTTGATCCCGACAAGTTTTTGGCTCCATCTGGCAACTTGAAGGGGACCGCTTCCCAGAAATTGTGCCTTTTTCGACTGTTGCCTCAGATTCTTGGAGACTTGATTCCACAGAATGATAGCAACTGGAATGTGTACACAGCGTATCGGCACATTGTGGACATAATTCTCTCGGATACAATGCCAAGGGACTGTGCTGCATACCTCGAAGTAAAGGTCTCGGAGTTTCTCCGCCTCTTCACAGAGCAGTATCCAGACAAATCCGTGACCCCAAAGCTACACTACCTCCTACACTACCCCAAGTATATCTTAGAATTTGGACCACCCCGCAGATACTGGGGAATGAGGTTTGAAGCCAAACATTCTTATTTTAAAGGACTGGCATCAGAAGTAAAAAACCACAAGAACATCTGCAAGACCTTGTGTCAGAGGCACCAACTCCTGCAGGCGTACCAGATATCTTCTGCTACACTGAGTCAGCCTATTGATGTGTCTGGAGTGGCCGTCGTGAAAACCGCATCACTTCCTGAGGAATTTGTGGTTTTGCTTCCCCAAGGTTTGAGAGAATTGGATTCTCTGAGCTCTGTCAAGACAGCTGCTTTCAACAACTGCAGCTACAGGGTTGGCGATGCATTTGTTCACTCAGTCGATGATGGCAACCCTAGTTTTGCGGAAGTGCATGGTCTTTTCGTTGCCAGTGGAACGTTGATCATAATGGCAAAAAAGCTCGCCACTGTTGAAGTTTCAAAACACAGATGTTCCTACATCGTCCTGCGTCGTGATGATGCAATGTGTGTAATACCGAACTTCCAATTTGACTATTATCCACTGGACTTTTACCCATACGGCAGTTTTCTCGAGGTTGTGCCTCATTACGAGATATTTGTGTAATCGGGATGTGGACTGCATGTGAAATGGTTGTGTTAAATACATTTGCATATTGTTTTTTTCTATCCTTTTTGTGAAATATATTTATGCTTGAAAACATTTTGCATTTCCTCTTAACATTTATTAAAAAAATGACAAAGGAGAAATTTATAGAATTTAAAGTGAAGTCAATGGATGTTATTAAAAGAAAATAGGGAAATGAAGAATAAATAGTACTGTATTAAAAATAAGGTGTGAACAAAAATGATCTCTCTTAAGTCGTCTGCCTCAGCTACCTACCTTCTCTACCAAAAACAAAACAAAAAAAGCTCTACCATACAATATGATAGTTGCAGCACTTGACATGCACATAGATTTAAAGAGCGGTCTGAAGGTCCTAATTGTATAAAGAAATGCAAACCAATTAGATATTGGGTGTTTATATTTTAAAGTAACTGAGACTGCAAAATGCTCCAGCTAAGTAATGGTAAATAATCTAATGAACCTCTAGGATCTTGAACCTCCACAGAAGTCGCACTGATTGGACAGATCTTTCAAGAGGTTCTTTCTTAAAATATTCCATCTTGTGCCTCCACTTTATGGAGACAATTTGGTCAACGCAGTGTAACAGCGAACTGCTAGTTCTGTTGGCAATGAGTTTTACGAATGACATTTCATGAACAGATTGTTTCGTCAACATGCGACGTTTTATCCACACGTTTCGTCGAAAGATGCCCTGGCATGCTTTATGACACATTCTGTGACGTTCCGTGCACATCGCATTGGCTGTCAGTACACTGATCGTAGCGTAGCTTGCCGAACCCTGGGCGGTTCTGATTGGGCTAGGCACAAGCTTGAGCCTGAAATTGTAATTCGTTTGCCCCAAGTGAAGTAGAGCAAAACAAAGATGCCCTGGCATTAATCCCCCCTCTAAAAACTCATCGTCCTGATGTGCTCTAGAGCAAAACGAAGAAACAGAATTGCAGACTACACACATCTGTAAAACACAGTCCTAACAAGCGTAGCGTGGGCACACAGTTCAGAGTCCTATCAAATGTAGTATGGCTTGAGGCATACGACATGGACTACTTGGGTCACGGGTGGCGCCGTCTTGATGGTCGAGTTCCGTCGGGAAGCACCTCATTGGTTTAAAGGGATGCTGAACCGAAATCTGGATTCCACAAAGCATGGCGGCAAAAGCGTGCAACGGGATGCTACAAACATCAAAACATGGCAAGCGGATTAGGAGAGAAAACACTGTAAACTATCTCGGTGTCATTATCAACAACAGAGTAAACTGGCAACCTGCTGTAAAAAAAGTCTTATCAGAGTCTGAAAAGCTTCTCGGTGCAATCCAACGCATCGCCGGTCGTGACTGGGGAAGCAGTCAAAATACAATGCTGAGCCTTTATAGGGGACTTATTGTAAACCGCTTCCTCTACGCTCTCCCTCTTCTGACAACATCAAACGCGCAATGGAAGAAGCTCGAACTCTTTCACAGGAAAGCTTTACGCATATGCTTGGGCCCCCTGCCTACCTACACTAATAGACCCTTTCAGAAATTCAGTGCCATCTGGTGGTTCGTAAAGCAGTTTAGGTTTTGCCCTATCAATGGCGGAAATGAACTTGTATCAGCACGGTGGCAATCAGTTCGTCGAACGACGTTCCATGGACAAACCGTTTCGTCGACACTGCGATGTTTCATCGACAGATCGTTTCGTGGAAACAAGCACCCGCTCGTTTCATCGACAGATGTTGCGACGTTTCGTCGACAGCTCGCTCTCCCAGCTCCTGGCTCTGCCAGCTGCACCTCCTCGCGACCTCTGCGCCTGCACGGCGCGCGGCCTTGTGTTGGATGGATGGATGGATGAAAGATGGCCGACTGGGCCAAGTATGGCGAACCAGTGCGCAGCCATCTTGCCTCACCCCGACAATTGTCTCTTTCAATTTGTTTTTTTTTTTTTTTTTTTGGGGGGGGGGGGGGGGGGGCGAAAAGGGGGGGGGGGGGGTGGCACCGATCGCACTGATTTCGGAACTTACGATTTGTATGGTTTCGCTCGTGTATTTGCCCGAACCTTTGGGGAAGCGCTGTCAAAGCCGAGAAGTTTTGTTCTCGACCACTTTCCTTTCTCAAATTAGATTCTTAAAACATTCAACATGATGCGCTGCTCTTGAGGGCTACGCTTTCGACAGCATACGTGATCGAGGTGTCTGCGCGTCATCGAATGGAACCCTTCGCGGGCTGGCCGCCGGCACTCCGACTGTTTTGAAAAAAGTGGCAGGATCGTTTCCAGAGCAAGCGTATCTTTCCGCGCGTCGCGTATTTTGGTGGAATTCTCAAGAGCCACCTGAACATAGCATAGACAGCCCACACGTCAAAACACTCAAGCTCCTAAAAAAATTGAATGAAAAAACGAGGCCTGTTTGCGGTGCACACAGCCTTTCTACCGTTGAAAATGGCATAAAATCGGTTTTTAAGCGAATTGGCATCTGAGCTTAGCCGCAAGCAATAAACTTTGAAAGAAACTGAGCATTCGGCTACGCGTAGTTTGCTTTACGGCAATAAAACACGGTTGTTTTTTTCTCAAAACACCGGGTATTTAACGTACTGTACTTACCAGACCGCATACGATTTTTAGACTTCAGCATATTTAGCTTCTGGATATTAAATAACACTATAGTTCTGCATATGTTAAGTCTGTAATAAAATTTTGCATGCACATAAACTAATATGTGACCAAAGAACATGAGATTTGGAAGCCGCTCCTTTATGCAAAGAGCTGGGTCACGAACTTGCCCCAGGTATCTGTCTGCTGGCATCGATAAAAGAACAATTGAATGTTGCGTGTGGGGACCAGTCGGCTGCTGCCGACAGATCTCGTCTAGTGGTATCTACTGCCTCCGAGGCCTTGGATGTGACGGCCGCTCGAGAGAAGCTATATAATACATTAAGTTGCACATTTGATATCAGCTATGGTTTACTTCGTGTAATAAGACTAAACTTGATGTAATGTTTTATTTATATGTTACCAATTCTCGTGTTTTTCTGTTTTTGCATTGCAATGTAGCTTTTTTTTAGGTTTACTCGCCGGCAGCGTGCTCGCGGTAGTGCGAGTGCTACTGGTTTTCGTGTTTTTGTTATTTATTTTTATTTGACAGTGTTGAAAGCCCCCTTATTATGTAATGTCCTTTTTAAACGGCCCTTAAAAATAAATGACGATGAAACGAGTGCGATTAAACAGTCTTCTCGCGTATAAGCCGCAGTAGCCAGTAAAACACCGCATCACTTTTCCTTTTGACTAATTGAAGGTAATGAACATGTTTAATTTGAAGTGAAATATTAGGGTTTTAATGTTGCAATAAAAAGCTGCAAGTTGTATTTTGTTTAAAAATAACCACTATAAAGAAAAAAAATCTGTGTTTACGCCCTTTTCCGCAACCCACCATTGGAACGAAGTTTTGTTTTGCGCCTACGCATATTTTTCTCCACCGTTTTTTTTTTCTTCCAGTAACTTTCGGTTCCATAAACGGGCATCGGAACTTGCAAATATCTGAATAGGCCGCGCACGAAGTCCTGCGCGCTCTTACTTATTCCATGTGGCACGCATGAGAGCGAGAGGATAGCGCAGTTGCTCACCTTGGAGAGCAACTGCGCTGGGCATCGTCTTTGTCATCTCTTACAAGTACTTGTACCTTAAGTTTCCGACATTCCTTTCGGAACAGCAAAAAAAAAGTTTGTCGACGAAACGTTTTACGGTGGTGCTGTCGACGAACCGATTGTCGACGAAATGTCACAGTGTCGACGAAACGTGAGTCCATGAAACGTGTGTCCACGAAAAGTTGTCCACGAAACGTAATTCCACGAAACGAGTTTCGACGAAATGATAGGGACCCGTATCGGCACCGTCACTTTCGCAAGTCGACGGCAAGCGAGGAATTGTTCAGTGTGAGTTCTTTCTCGATCACTTTCAGGCCGATGGTGACCAAGAACGTGCATTCAGAACAAAGCTCCAACCCACTGAGATGCCTCGAGAAAATTCTATACACCAAAGTGCTTTAAAGCCGATTGTGTGCCACGACAGATTGACTGAATCTGAGCAATTAGAAATAAACGCTTACGTAGCTCTTGTGTTCCAGCCCTACTTCGCTTCGTACTGACCCCCGAACGTACAGGCCTCGCAATATCCGCTTAGGAGCATCTTCAACGTCTTCCTTTATCAGTCACTAGAAGGCCGCCATTCGTATGGCACAGATGCCGTTCCACAGATGATGATAGTGATCAAAGTGGCCAGACTGAATTTCGGAAAGCGTCTATTGAAGCAGGGGATTTACCACTAGAGCTGCAGGCCCATGAGAGGGCTCTACGACACATGACTAGATTTCACCGTGCCCAGTCAACTTCCAAATTCATCGACAAACTAGCATCCCGACACCATTCTCGCTTAAGTCAAGTCGCCAAAGCTTTCCGTGACTCAATCGACTATCCGGAAAACGTCCCACCTCTGCCGCCACCACATCAGGAGTTACTCTTCAAAGTTGACACGGAGATTCTTGACCTACCACAACGTCGGCGGGTAGCAGTGGTGATATCCCGGAAAATTACACTAGAACTAATACACACAGATTACGATAGAATGTTACACATTTACACTGATGGCAGCATTAAGCACAACACAGCTACAGCAGCGTACGCTGTCCCGGAACTTGGCCTCAGCAACATGGGACAGCTTGATACTTGCTTCGACACCACAACAGCTGAATTAATGGCTATCTGGCTAGCAATCACCGAGACACCCCTCCCTCCAGCTCCCCGATCGGTTGTGGTGTTTACGGATTCAAACGGAGCATTACGCCAACTCATGAACCTGGAGTATGCTTCCCCTCTTGCTCGAACAACTGCAGAACTTGCACAAACCGCAGGCAGAAATGGAAACACCTTTTACTTTCAATGGATTCCTTCCCACGTTGGCATCCAAGGTAACGAAGAAGCTGATGCTCTTGCCACAACTGCCCACTCCGACAGC